TTTTAAAGTCCCCACCCATACATACACGCATGCAAACATGCGTCGGGGGCGCATACGTGCAAAAAAGACGATTGCGCCCATTACGCCGCCCATGTTACATATTCTAGGGCCATCAGTCACTGATAACACTAAACTGATGAGCGGTAAAAGCTTTTAAAGCGTCGCCGATGGCGAATTTTGGGTATGGTAGTTTTCTGCAATTTCACGGGTGCGCGCAATTTTAAAGCTTGACATGTTTGGTGTCTATTTACCCGACGTGACCCGATCTTTTATATTTTACCACAAAACTGGGTAATAATGTTTCCTAACATAATGTAAAAAAAAACTTATTTTTTCCAAAATTTTTTGTAATTTTTCCTAATTATAGTAAAAAATAAAAACCCCAGTGGTGTTTAAATACCACCAAAAGAAAGCCCTATCTGTCCCCAAAAAATGGTATAAAATTCATTTCAGTACAGCGTTGCATGACGGAATAAACGTCAGTCAAAGTACTGCAGCTCTGAATACTGAAAAATGGCCTGGCCAGGAAGGGGGTCTAAACACCTGGTCTTGAAGTGGTTAAGGAGATAACCCTGGAGCCAGTATGCAGATAAGGGATTTGATTTCCAGTGAGAACTGGAATCCTGTACGAGTCATGCCCATTTAATTGACTATCTGGGATCCATCAGCAACCTTTGTTATTATTAAAGCAAATGGATGTCTCAAACGTCATTGACTGTGAAAACATAATAGGGCGGTATTCCCTTTTTTCTATTCACCATGTAGTGACACTAAAAGTGCTTTTTTCTCTTATATGGGGCCCATAAACTGAAAGCTTAAACCGGTAAAGCATAATGTGTTTTTATTGAGTGTATATTTTGAATCATTAGGACAGTATTTACCTTAAAGCAATTTCTGATGTGACTTTTCCACTTTAATACACATCTAAACTATACCATTGAAAAGATTGTACATTCCTTTTATGATTATGGGTACATTTCTTTTTACTGTTGAGGATTGTCAAATGCAGGACATAACAGTTTGTTGAAGTTGCAGACAGCAATTTCCATATATGAAATATATTACTTGCCAAAGTTATTCAGCTGTCCTGACAAGAGTAACACACGAGGAAGGATGCGTCTGCCCAATTTACTTGGGGTGAAATCTTCCATCTAAATGCAGGAGATGATAACACAGACAGATATTGAATGGCTGCATCTCCGTATACCATTTATTCCTGTCTGTGCACGGTCTCCGGTCTAGATATACTCGGCATACAGCAGTCATATCCCATGTGAGCCCTTCACAGCCTGTACTCTGTGACTACATGTAGAGGAAAGCCTTTGGCCTGCCAATACAGATTTCCATCTGTAGTGACTTGTTCATCTTGTATCCTAACAGCAGTGCATCTTTTCTTTGCGAAAGACTGTTATTATAGAGTTTGTCATGCAGTTATGTTTTGCAGTTAATTTGCGTTCTCATGACAAATACATTGCGAGAGTATTAAAACCTTCTATCATTTGTCTCTTCAATAGCTAAATATATGTGGCCCTGTGAATGAGTGTGGTCTCATTGAAGATGTCAAAGCAGCTGGCTGTGAATTTGAAAACAATGTGCCGTCTAGACCAGTCCAGATAAGCCAGTTGCTGGACCTTTCTTCAGATTTCATCTCCCTTACCTATCATGGAGCCTTTCATGAAGAAGCCGGTGAGGGGAAAAAATTACACAATTACAGTTCAAATATGATGACACAGTTGGTGATGGGTGCATATGGTACAGGCCTTGCTGTGTTTTATATAATGTACTGTTGGAACATCTTGCTTCTAGAATCCCTATTCACACCACACGCAGTGGGGCTGCACGGGCCATGGTTTCCAGCACAACCCTAACGCAAGGCATGGCAATTTGCCTGGTCACAGATGGTCACCATTTACACCACTGCGTTGTGCTGGGAACATGGTGGTGTGCACTGAAAAAAAAAAAAAAAAAATTTTTTGGGGGGGGACATAAAAAAAAAAAAAAAAAAGTACAGCATGCCATACTTTTTTTTTTTTTAGCGCATCGCGATGAGGAAGAACCGCCTCACACCCTGCTGTGCCCATAAAACTGAATTAAATGTTACTTGTTAAATGGAATAGAGTATTGGCACTGCTCACCAGCCGCTGTGCATTTTGAGAGTGAACCCTAAGAGGTAAAAGTAGGTCTTTGGATAATCAGTCTTTCAGCATCTTCCTATTATTCTCAGAGTATAGGCATCCTTGTTTTTGTACAAGAAAACTAGAGTTCAAAGTATATCTAAACCCCAAAACAAAAATGTAATGTATTGCAGCTTACCGATTCTTAGATGTATTGGCTGCATTGTTTTCAGTTTTACAGGGTTTCTTTTCTTTTTCACCTGGAAATCATGCCAGCTTTGTTGAATGCCTGAAGGAATGCCGTTGTCGCCCTAGACAGCTCTCTACAAATACCGTACCTCCCCAAATTCTCATATCCAATAGTTATGAGTTGTTTTGTAGTTCCCAGAAAATAGCTGGAAAAACATTGTTAGAAATGTCAGTTCAGTGCACAGGAAATCCATCCAGTATGCTGAAATAGTGGCAAAATCAACAGGTAGTTTTCTGTGCTTGCAGAAAATGTACTTACCCGGAAAAGAGGAAATGAATGCAGCTGCCTCGAAAAGACTTGATAGCTCAACAGTCTTTTGTCATGGGACAATTTGATCCGGTCTCTGGATGAACCAGGTTTTCCCCTTTCCTGGTGGAAATCAGCTCAGGAGGTGGAAGTCCTTCCTTCTTATTTTTTAGATGGTCCTCATAATGGATGCCAGCCTAATGGGCGTGGTAGGAGTCATACACACTGTGTCTGTGCAGGGGACTTAATCATCAAGGAAGTCTAGGTTCTTGATGAGCATCCTGGAACTTTGTATGATTTGGCTGTCTCTGCAGTGTTGGACAATCTTACTTGAAGGTCATCTGATCTGTATTCAGTGGGACAACTTTACAGTGATGACATTTATCAGTCAGAGAGCAAATGGAAGTCTCACCACGGCATAGAAAGATTGGATCCCGTGCTGGGCAGTACTTTGTGTTCCAGCCTTGCCAGCCATGTAAATTTTAGCTGTGGGCAATTTGCAGGCAGACTGGTACCTGGACCGAGGGAAGTAGTGTCTACACTCTAGGACCTGTTTTGCAGGTGGTGAACACTGGATGTGGACCCATTGACATTCAGGTTCAACAACAGACTAAACTGACTTGTTTGTAAGTGCCTTTTTGAGTATTTTGGTATTAATAACTTGTTCCCAGATTTGCAAGGTTGCTACCTGGCCTTCTGTTCACTCGTTCTCTATGTTCTACCAGATGGAAGTCTCTGCCTCATCTAAATGCAGCTTCATGCATAAAGCCTTTTTAAGTGGCTCTTTGAGCTGTAGACAGTCCCTGATTTTGTTTTTTAAATATGTTGAGCTTGTTAGTAGTTGTTTACTCTGTTGTGCCCGTCTAATATGGAGGGCTTTTGAACATCTCAAAGGAACAAGACTTCCTGTGTCCTTCAGTGGATGAGAAAGAAATTATCTGGGAGTCCATTGAGGAACGCAGGTCCTACTCCTCTGTGTTTATGATCATGTTCTCAGGACTGCTTTTGCCATTGTTCAATCCTCCTGTAGGTAGCAGTATAACCTGGAAGTTAAAGACTTCATGTGTCTCATCAATGGACTTGAAGTAAGGGATTTTACAGTGAGTACAAAAATCCTTTTGTTTTTTTGCAAGACAATGCTGCCAAAAGAGAGCCATGTTTTTCCCCTCAAAAAATGTGTTTTGCTTCAGTATCACACTTGTTGTCAAATCAGTGCACCAAAGCTAAAAATTGTTCTGGCACATAAGCATTATACAGTAGCAGAAACTCAAATGGTTAATGCTCTTTTTCTTTTTAATTAAAGAGAAGTGTTGTTGACAACTAAAAATAGATCAATAAACAACTGCTGGATCATGTTTTAAAAGTTCCACACGTAAGTGAATACAAAAAAAAAAAAAATGTTGCTCAGTTTTCAGCCTGGTGACCATGCTTTTCATTGAAGTGATGTAGTCTCCTGATATGGAGTTTCTACTGAGGCTGAACGTGTGAGTATACATCAGGTTGTCACTGGTACCAGCAGACACCTTTGGCTTGCCTGGGGGAGTAATAATCAGGCAGGTTGGAAAACCTTGATCAACTGCTGCTGTTTTCATCCTGGCTAAGGTAGTGCTGAAGGTCTCTACAGCACATCTTCCATGCCCCCTTCCCTCTCCATTGCCTAAACACAAACAGTTGCACAATGCAACCCCTCGTATTTATGGATCTGGAAGGCGGCTTAAAAGCCTGAGTTTTGTTGAAGATCATGCCTGCATATTTTTCGGCCCTCTCCTTTTGTGGTTGCCTTAATACTTTGAGTAGATCAAGAATCTCAAGACTAGGAAACCCGATGGGCATGTGATGAATGGGAGTTTTACTTAGACAAAACAGATTCTTATAGTTAATGTGGGAATTTCATATTTCTGGAGAAGCTACCAGTGCATCATCATGGAGAAAGTGGTATCTGCAAACCAGAGAATGCTCAAAGTTATTAATGTTTAATACCATATCTCTATTTTTCAGGTCAAGGGGACATGTTTACAATAAACTTTGTGTGCAATGATGATTTATATCCTGGGGAGCTGGTCTTTAAGAGAGAGGAAATAAACTCTGAAACTCATCTCTACCATACATTTTTTGATTTTAAAACGGCAATGGCTTGCTCTCCTTCTCCAGTGGATTGTCAGGTTACAGGTTAGTACCTGGATTTCTGTATAGTGTGTGTGTGTGCTTTTTTTTTTCCCCCTTGATCCTTCTTTGATGTAAATCTTTTTTTTCTTCTAGATACTGCAGGGAATGAGTATGATTTAAGTGACCTTAGTCAGGATGCTAAACCATGGATAGCTGTAGATACATCTGATAGTGCCAAAAATAGAACATTTTACCTCAGTGTATGCAAACCTCTTCCAGTTATCCAAGGATGTCCAGGTAAGGTTTTTTGCCAACATTTGCTTGGCTTTTGGCTGACATCTGCTTCTGTTTTATGGTAAATTGTTGTGTAACGGTTAGCACCTATCTCTGCGCAGCTCCCCTGTCAATAACATTAGTTCTGGGGCGGGAATGTTGGCCCTTTTTAGATTGACTGCAAGTGAAATCACTAGCCCAGGACCAATATGCAAATTGTCAAATGGTTATGGAAGCTTCTGAGACAGATATCTTCAGCATTGTCACAGATTCAATGTACACATAGTTGCAGCGTGGTTTGTTAATGTATTTTGCTGCTATTTTATTATAAATTAAATTATTAGAATCTTACAGCTGAACTGTAAGTGGATATAAATGATCACCGTTTTAATTAATGCTTGTATTAATTAAATCCGAGATTTCCTCTGCAGCACTATTTCTGCTGCTAGATGTCCTCAGTCTGATGGCCAATACCATTTAATCCAATAACTGTGAGCCCAAGTTATCCTGGACCTGCCCTAGTCTGTGGCTGAACAGTGAAAGGAGAAGCTGCACAGTGATGAGTTCATCGATCTGTCACTGCTTTTATTTTCCTATAAGCATGCTTCTAGTCATAACGTGAGCTGGTTGGATCCTCATACTGTTCTTTTACTCATTCTCCAAGTCTGCTGTACATGGACTGCAAGAGGATAATACCAGGTCAAATTCAGGTGCTTACGCTGCTGTATTTAATAAATTACATTTAATGATGTGTTAATGACATACGTGCAATCATTTGTGTCTTTTATATCTCTCGAGTTCAACTTTAAAACACATAATTAAAGGAGAACTATGGGGTCAGTGTTTTTCCCCATAGTTCTCCTTAGGGTAACGGGAGGACACAAACCAGCGTCCTCCCGTTACCCTAAGCTCAGTATACCGTGAGCTGCAGCTCGCGGGATACTGAGACGTCGCAGCCGGAGCGGATCCCGACGTAGATGACGGGATCCGCCCAGCTGCGTGAGTGACAGCTGGCTCTGCCTATCTAGAGGCAGAGCCAGCTGTACCCGCCCCCTCCCCCGTCCGTTCCGCCAGTCAGCGCTGGCAGATCGGAGGGGGGAGAGGGGAATCCAGCCCCTCCCCCTGTCACGGCAGAGAGCCGTGACAGGATCGAGAGGTGAGCGAACCTGGTATGTGTTCGCTCACCTCCCGATCTACTGAGCCGACCTGTGACAGTCTCATTGTCACAGGTCGGCTAGAACTATGAGCCGAGTGGAAATCACTCATCTCATAGTTCTCCTTTTAATGTTTCCTTGCCTCCGTAGCTAGTGTCAGGGTAGAGCTTAAGGAGTTTCTAAAGCCTCACGTTTTTTTTGCATATATCTACTGCTAGCAAGCAGTAGATATATGCAAAAAGTAAAAACAATTGAAAAGTGGTTTAAACTTACCCGTGTCTGCGCCGCACACTCCCGTCCGAAAATCTGAAAATGCTCGGGTGGCCGCAAAGCATCGTAGGGCGGGCGCATGCGCAGTTCGGATTTTCGGCCGGGAGACGAGGAGAGACGCAAGGTAAGTCTATGGACGCGGGCACCCGCATGCAGACACTGTGGGACAGGAAGTGCCAGCAAGGACAGAGGAGTCAGCGCTGGATCGGAGACCCGCAGCAGCACTGGAGAGACAGATTAAAATGACAGGAAAGAAGAAGATCGGATTAAGAGACATAATATAAAGTAAGTGCTTTAATTAACATTAGGGGGAGGGAAAAAGGTTTTTGCCTTTTTTAAAGTCACTTTAAGGTATACCACACCATGGTGCTGCTTCTCCTTTAATATTAGGTCTTCTGCTGCTACTTGAATGTTGTTTTGCTTCCTGGAGAAGTCATTGAGTGGGCATTACCTTACTACCACATTTATCTTCCCCCAACAAAATGCGGCTGATTACTTCTAGTAAAATAACCTGTTTTTGTCTCTTCAGGGGGAGTTGTTGGGTCCTGCATGAAGACTACAGATAATAAAAGCTTCAACCTTGGCTTTATCCAGATGAGTCCTCAGGTTTCAGCAGATGGGACTCTTACCATTGTCTATATGAGTGGAGACAAATGTAGAGACAACAAGCATTACTCTACACGGATCATTTTCCAGTGTGACCACAACATGGTAAGAATCTCCTCATTCCTTATATGTAATCCAGTTCTCTGACTACTTACTAAATCTGGACTTGTTTTGTCATGGCTTCTCTGCCTAATGTAAATCCTTTTTAAAAAACAATGTTTTCCACACAAAACTAGTACATTAATTTTGAGTAGAATGCGAATATACTCTGTCATGCCTACTTATCGGTAAAGATGGAGTATGTAATCGTCACCCACTCACTGCTATATTATCTCATCATGTGTGGTTACATGACTTTAGGTCCATTCTGACACGCAGGCTGGCTGTTGCAGCGGGTGCATTGAGGTTTGATGTTAAAGGAGCCTCATGGCTCTTGATCTTGACCTTAGGGCTTTATAGGTGACATTATTTTTCAAATTATTCACTACTTTTCTTTTTTTGTTTTTTAGTGGAGGTTTTCTTTAAATGTCTGTGGAATGTTTAATATTGTGGTCTTTTGTTTGGTGGTATCGGAGGGCACTCGCCTCCAAGTCCCCTCTGCTCCTCAGGCTATGACCTGCAGCCATGCATTTTGTAAATGGTCAAGTGTAATTCAACTATCTTGCAGGTAACAAAAGCGCCAGGATAATTTTTCCAGACAATCTTTAGTAGAAACCATGAAAACGCAATGATTTCTGCATCTGCCTCTCTTTCAGACTACATATCTGTGTTTTTTTAATATTATCATTTTATTTTTTTAATAGGGGTCCCCTGTGTTCCAAGAACTAGATGACTGTGAATATGTATTCTTGTGGAGGACGTCTGAGGCATGCCCTGTTATAAGAGCTGAAGGTAAGCATTTACACAGCTAGGCCAGATTTCTCCAGGCTTACTCACACTGATGGAGTGGCTCTCTTTGTCAGGCAGACTTCTTGCCTGTGCGTTTATCCCTTTGACCTTCCAAATAGCTTAATATACTCTGTTAGTCCTCTGCACCCTAGTACTGTTCAATTCCCATATATTGGGGTTTAGATGACAAATCAATTATTGGTCATAAAAAATGCAATAAATTATATACAAGTTAAATACATACTAAAATCATAAATTGGATAATAACATGATTAGTTCCCAATATGTCCCCCTTCTACTCTGTATTGTGACATGCATAGCTCCAGCAATTATTGGTCATACCCAATTCATCTGGTTACAAATTTATTTGTCAATGTGGGATATATATATATTTGATGGTATCCAAAGGCGTGTAGCTCAATCCCAATGCGTTTCACAGTGTGCTTCTTTAGGGGTTTCAAGGCAACTCTAGGCACATGTACAGCAATGAGGGGCCAGCCAACAAGGAGAGCTCCTCTCTTCACTGCCGGACTTTGGTGGGATCATAAGGGAATGCACCAAAAAGGAAAAGCCCAACAAAGCGATCCACTGCTTCAATACAAACTTAGCCAACAGTATCTCAATTCCAAAGGTCTAGAGCAGAGGTCTCAAAGTATTGGCCCGCGGGCCAGTACTATGTGGCCCGCAGCCAGCTAACAAGTCAGGTACACGCGGTCACTGGCTGCATTCCTGACTTGCGGGAGCAGCTACACGGTCTGTATCTCTGTCGGATGCAGAATGCAGAGCTGATCCTGTCAGCTCCAGCACTGAGATCCTTTCGGCTGGAGCTCAGTTCTGAGTTCCGGCCGAAAAGATGGATTAGTGAGGTCTGCAGAAGACCTTACTAATCACCACTAGAGCACCAGGGATCGTGCCTGCTCGCCTCCCCTCTGCAAAAAGGTAAGCAGGAGAGGGGGTTCTGTATTTTTTGGGGGGTGTATTTTTTTATGTGTATGGGCAGGGGGGGAGGGATAATTAGGGATTCCTGCATCAGGAGCTTGCAGTTTCCTGCAGCAGGCATGCCTAGTCTGTCGTTTATAGGTGGACAGCTATCACCCATTCAAGGTAATGATCAGATGACCGCAGCTACATGTAAATGCCTGCACACCGCATTTAATAGTATGTGATATGATTACATTTGGTATCAATCACTATCCCTGGATGCATCAATTGTGCATCCTGGGAAGGTGGTTTTCTAACCACATGTAATCATATCACATACCATTACATGAGGTGTGCAGGCGTTTACATGCAGCTGCTGTCACATGATGAATAACTTGAATTAGTAACAGCTGTCGCTTGTAAATGCCAGTTTAGGGATTCCTGCTGCAGGAAAACGCAAGTTCCTGACGCAGGAATCCCTAATTGCACCTAAACTTACAGATATGAATGGCGCCTTATGGTGTCCTTAGTTCCATACTGGATATAGTTACATTTTATTTTGAAGTATCAGATTTGGCAAGCGGCCCACATGGGAGAAATAAATTTGAGTGGCCCCCGAGTGAAGTGAGTTTGAGACACCTGGTCTAGTGGGATGTTCTGGAAGACATGACGGGATGCATCCAGTCATGTGCTCTATGTATAAATTGCCTGACATGCAATTAATAGCATCTAGCAGATGACGACAAATTCATTATCCATAGTTTACACCTCTGAATCATTAATATCTTTTTTTTTTCTTTCTCTAACAGGTGACAATTGCCAAGTTACAGACCCCAAATATGGCCATATATATGATTTGAAACCTCTAGGAGCAAAGAATGTGGAAGTGAAAGCTGATGAATACTTATATCAGTTTCGTGTCTGTGGGGAAGTTACGGGATCTTCTTGCACACCCAAAGCACCTAGCGGGACAACCGTTTCCTCCTGCCAGGTCAAGGGATCCACAGCACAGCTGGCAGGTACTGATATAGATGTGCATCTGCAGAGAGATCATGTTCATGATTGCGACACTTGTTGGATAATGATAATGTGGAAGCACATCACATAGGACTATAAAATCCTATTTTTTATTGCATATTGCAGTTTACCGAAAGGGTTACTTAGAAATGGCTTTGTAACATTTGTGAGAGAAAGGTAGACATCTTGTACTTGAATGCAAATGGTCCTGTAAAAGATTTTGCTCTGGATGGGTCGGAACACTCCTAACAATTTATAAATAACAGAAACTCTGGTGCTGTAAATTGCCATTTAACTTTATATATTTGTTGGAGCTAACTTGGAAAGCATTTAAGGCAATGCTCTAGCATGACAGGTCTACTTTAGTACTAATATATTCAGGAAAAACTGACTAATAGGATCAGTAGGTCAGGTGATAAGTTAGTTTTCTGGGCCATAAACAGTGGTTTGCCCAATTCAACTTTATACGATTGAGAAGGAAAACTCTAATGCCTCTCCAAAGCCTCATAGCCATTAATCCTGGGGAAACATCCATACCAGCCAATCCTGGGTGTTTTTTTTTTCTTCTCACACTCCTGATGCCTGCAGAGTGTCCCCCAATTTTTTTATCTTGGTATAAAAACGCACTTTTTTTTCCCAAATGGGTACATGCATGTTTGGACACTGATCAATTAACAGGATGTTTGCATGGCAGCGATGAGTGCATGCAAGGTCAGTCACGATCCAAAGTCTGCAGGAACCTTAAGATGGTTAACAATTAAGTTATAGTTAATATTAGGGAGTTGAGTTTATGTGTAGGGTTAAGGTATGTATGGGGTACAGTATGAATAATGTACCAATTTTTATTTTTGAATAAAGTAGAGAAGAGTTAAAACCTTTGCTCGTTTTGGTGTTTTTTGTGTATGTGTCCTGTTGGGGAGATTTGCCTTTACTGCATGTTTCTGACACACATCAGGAAATGGGTGCAAACCTCTGCAGAGTAGGGAGCATTCCCCTCTTAGACATATATCATGAGAACAGGTGTCCCCACTGGAAGAAGATTTCCTTCAACTGTAATATTTTGGGTTGCCCATCATTTTCTGTCCCAGGGACCATAGTCACCATTACAAACCGAGTAGACCAATCTTACCACTGGCAATACTGACTATAAAATAACTCGCACATGTGTAAACCCTTCCCTATTCTGCATAAAGCTGAAAAAAAAAAAAACTTTGGCTAGATATGCACTTAAAGTATCCATCATGAAAGAGTACAGTGAAAACCTCTCTTGCTTTTGACACCAAGAAGCTCTGTGCTAAAAATGTATGTTGCATCAAATTTTCTATAGCCAGTCACCTACAGATAAAATGACCTTGGCTACAAATTACCTGACATCTGCAAGCAGTTCAGGATTGGGAAGCTCTTGTAATGATTAGGCTGTACACAGGTTCATATTAGAGCAAGAATGAGCATTTTTAAGCTTTGAAAGCCCTTATCACATTCAGAAATGTTCTAACATTTTGGGGCATTCTTTGTATGTAGTGAAAAGAACAGAAAGAGTAACTGCTTGTATTGTATTGTACTATTGTGTACTATTGTGAATAAGAATGTAGCTGTTTCTGGTGGTCTTGCAGTGTGGGCAAGCATGCACAGAACATGGTCTACCATATTATTGGTCATTCTTAGCTGTACTCTATAGTGGACCTGATTTCCCTTTGACTATTTTTTGAAAGTTTCATAGTTGCAGTTTAGATGGATTTTAACCTTAAAATCTGTGTCCCACATACAAAAGAACCAGCCATATAATTAAACTGTTATTTTTTATTGTTTTAAGGTTTGAATACCTTGGGAATCTGCTAACGATACATCCTATTACTATACTACCTATTAAGAGTCCTGTTTTCCCTTTGTTTAATAGGATTAACCAACCAAAAGCTGATATATGAAAATGGCCTCATCATGATAAATTATATAGGAGGAGATCTCTGCCACCAGAAGCATAACCGTACAACACTTATTCTCTTCTACTGTGATAAGACAGAAGAGCAGGTTGGTATCATGTTTTAAGCAAGATTATGAGGAAGACATTTATTTATTTAGTTTTTTTTAATTTTGCAAAGCATGACAATTTTGCCCTGCATATGATTTACCAGAATGTAGTCCTGAGTCATACCTTGGTGATCCTGATACAAAGAGAAATTGATTCTTGCACAAATGCATTTGGGTATCGCCTGTATATGTAGCTCTAATAATAATCTAATATTTTTGTAATTTGCACAAACAGTGAAAGATAATCATTCATACACAGTATAACTCAAGTCAGAGTGTGTGTATGTTGTTTTGGATATAGTATAGAAACTTTTTATAAACCTCCCCCCCCCCCCTTTTTCTGTTCTTTTCTTGTTCATTAAGGAGCACAGGTCTTAAACATTTGGGTTCATCTGCTTACAGAAGGATTGGATGGTGGCAAACAAAACAAAACAAAAAAAAGGAGGACAATTCTGCACTTACGGACCTCACTGATAAACAACTGGAGGTCTTTCTAGTACTATGTTCTCTTTGGTTACCTTTATATCCGATCTTGGCTTGCCAAACCATATCTGATTTGTCAAAATCCATTAAAAAACATAATTCTGCTGCTTCCGTTGACCTTAAGATTATTACGCATGTGGAACAGATATTTGTGGCAGTAAACTTTAGCTGTTAGAAGTCTCCCAGCTTGTTTTCTTCATTAGCCTCTTGTCAATGTATATGCATTGGGCACGGCAGAACTTTCTGGCAAGAAGCATTCAAGTGACAACGGCTCTTCAGACTGGCTCTAGACACTATCATCAAGGATGACTACTGGGGGCACTCATGTTCATCAGCGGAATAAGGAGCAGACTGCCAAGCCATCTCTTATCTGTTAGCTCACCCGCAGCTTCCACTTCGGGACACCCCCCCCCCCCCCCCCCCCTCCCTCCCCCCCAAGGATGGCTCCCCATCCAGATGTATGGTCTGGAACACAGAAGCTACCAAATCCACTGAGTCCTACTTCGCTTTAAGATGCACCCCCACTTTCCAGAGTGGGGAGGGCGTTGGTTCTTTGCGGCTAGCATCCATTAGGTAGTATCTCAGGGCTACAACATTGATTTTCTTTCCCTGCTTGTTGCTCAGTTTCTAACTTTAAATCTCCCTCAGCAATTTGCTTCAGACACTTTCTGGATCTCATCTCCTGGTTGACATCTTTTGAAACTCCAGACCATCGGGCTGTCTCTTCAGCATTCTAACTTGTTGGGAGGGCCATCCAATTTGGATCCAGTCAGACAATACCACTGTGTTGGAGGGACATCTTCACCTCGCCCAGTCTGTGATTCCTACAATGCTCAAAGCTAGGTTGCGAACTTACACAAAGTTTATCATTGGACATGAAAGATGTACTTTGATTGTTTTGAGTCTAAGGACTTTTACCCGAGTAGTTTCTGTTGTGGGATGGATCCTCTTCATTCTGCATTTGGGTTTGCACCAATATTTGCCTCTTAGTACCATTAAGGGCCAGATATCTGCTGGGGTTGGGGGGAGGGGTGGCTCATGTGGTCCCCCCAGTCCAATACCCTTTGATGACAAGTTCATATTTCTTGTTGCTATGACCTCGGCTAGGAGAGTGTCTGAGCTGGTGGCTTTGTTCCACAAGGAACCCTTTTTTGTCGCGCTCAAGGAAAAGGTGATGTTGAGGCCCAGCACTTCCTTTTTTCCCCCGAGTACTCTCCACTTTTCACCTCATTTTCTTTCTGTCCCTCGGTGCAGCACCAGTTCACCAAAAGGAAATTTCTACTCCAGGGCTTGTTCACACCATCTCTGGACAAGAACATTTTTTTCCGCACCTGAAATGCATCCCAATATATTCCTATGGTATTTGTGGGCTCTGTTCACACCAGTGCAGTATGTTTATCCTTCAGAAAAACCGACTCCTTTTTGTCATTCTGGATGGGCACAGGAAGGATGCCGCGGCTTTTTGTTCCACCATCTCTAGGTGGCTCAGACAGATCATAGTTCGGGCTTCTTGTCTCAGGGCTTGTTCACACCATGTCTGGACCATGTCCAGACCAGAACTGTTTGTTCCCAGACCAGAAAAGTATCCCTATGGTATTTCTGGGCTCTGTTCACACCACCGCAGTCCGTTCCGGTCCAAACAAATAAAATACTGCTGGCTGCATGGTTGCATTTTCTCTGGTCCAGAATGCATGCAAATGCATAAAAATGCATGGATATGAATTGGACTGCACCTGAAAGCCCATTTTAAGCTTTTTTTTTTTTTAAAGTGGCAAAAACGCACTGCATTTCCAGATCTGGTCCAGGCATGGTGCG